AACTTTTCAATTCTCATAAGAAGTTCTCGAGATAATAGCAAAATACGCAAAAAGCAAAATTTACGTTAAGGGGGTTCAAACTTTGAGTGCTCTTCTGACGAAACTATTGTGACAACGTTTCCTAGATTGCGGATACCCCCTATATTATAGGTGGGTGTCAGAAATCCGAATCCATTGAAAAATATATGTTTATTCAGAGACAGTACGTTTTTGCGTCTGATTTCGTAACTGAAAATATCATTTGCACTTATTTATTAGCATATTTGAATTCACCCCCTCGAGTAATTAGGATTGAGTCCTAGAATCGATCATTAGATCAGAAGTTATTCAGGATAGTCCTTTTTTGCGCACTGTACGTGGTTTCTTTAAGACGTAATAACGATTTTGTCATTGATAAAAATTATAAGAGTTTAACTAAGCTAGATCGAACATTGTATTTAAAATACCATGCAATTTACAGAAACTGATTGCGTGACATTTTTCTTAGCACGGAGGACCCCGGTATATGTTTTACTTATCATCCTCTCAATGTTTGAAATCTTGCAAAAGCAAAACCTGGCATGAAACTTCAAAAATGAATAGTTTTCTTACGAAGGTCAAAATGTTATTTTTGGTGCTTTCAGATATTTCTATGATTGTTTATTTTAATAATCTAACATGGGATTTTGATACAGTATAATTAAACATACATAAGAAAAAGTTATAAAATATTCGCTTCGATGATCTCGTATGTCTTCTAAAACAACATAAGAAATGAAAAAAATTATTAAAATGACCCCAAGGACACTTAAGTAATTGTTAGAGGATTTATATCATCCAGCAGCACCTTATTCTGAGAACTTTAAGAGAAAAAGGAAAGTTTCAGTGTGTATTTTTATTTATTTTTTTTATGTTACAAGCCGTTAGTAATATTTTGGATTTGTAAAGACTTGAAAATAGTTAAAAATAATTAATTTAACAGTGCATAATTCTTCGGTCCGATATTGCGAATGGCATTCCGTTGAGAAATAGCTTTCACATATTCTATTGAAATGCTTTTCTTTTTTTTATCTTTAAAATAATTTATTTTTTTCAGCTTTTCTTTATTTTGATGCAATTAATAGGAAAAAAAAGTTTCGATTTTTGCATTTATTTATTCTTTTTTATGTGTAAAGCTTTTTACTTAATTTTTTTAACAATAACTAAACTAAAAATTGAAAAAAGAATTTGTTGTAAGTATTATATATTCTTAAAATCTATTTATTTTCTTATTTTTTTTATTGTCATAGTGATAAAATGTACCAAAAAAAATCCTCAAAAGCTTATTATTATTAAACTTTATTAAATACATATTTCGAGAAAGTAATAGAGATAAAAAAAAACTTTTGCAGAATACTTCTTGCAAATTAATGTCCTTTAAAACATGTTTCTGTATCACTGTAAACAGATTCTAAAACAAGAAATATTCAAAAGGGTAATGAAACAAATGTAGTTGACGTTTCTTCTTTTTTAGCAACTCAAGATTTCTCGGGTTCACGAAATATAAACTCAAAACGCAACTTCATATTAAAACCGCCAAATGTGTTCTAACTTTTGGTCAGTCAGCCGTTAGCTCTAAAAATCTTTCCAAGATTTTTCATTTCGATTCTTTTTTCTGGGCACACAAATAGGACTAAATAACTTAATCTCGAGGGAGCCTTTCTTTATTTGTCTTCCTTGCGCTTGGCTAAATCTTTTGCGCTCCAACAATTTTGAAAACGAATCCAAAACCGCAATTCCTTGTTTTCTTTGTAAATACGTGGAAGAGGAAAAGAATTATTCTATTTGATTTTAGTAACGCTTGAAGCATTATGGCCATTATTTGACCTTTTCCCACGACAGCGATGTTTGGCTTCTTTTTCTTCTTTTTTTATTATCCTCATGGTCTATTCTTTCATCTGGCTATTGCTAACACTATTTCATTTTGACTTGATTTTTAAAATATATATGGACTTTAAAAGCTTGTATTTTTTGTTTTGTTTGGTTAGGAAAAAAATACCGTTCAACATTTGTAAGTATTGCGTCTCATTCTACAAATCACAACTAACAAAATAACCTCAATATTAAAATGTGAAAAAAATACTAAGAATAATAATTAAGAAATCTGTATATTTGGACTTCGAAATTTTGTATTTTTTGCTTTGTTTGGTCACAAAAAATGCGTTTAGAAAGAAATATTATTTCAGTAAGAAGAATGTGTTTTTAAACATAATTATGTATTAATAAAATCGTATTTGTAAATATTACATCTTATTCCATAAATCATAACTAACAAAACATCATCAATATTAAAGTACAAAAAGATAATAAGAAAATTTTCAATAAAAAAATTCTTGGCTAAAATATTGCAGAATACCTTAGCTAAAATGTTCTATAATAGTTATTTTTTTCTTCTTCTCTTACGGCAGAGATTTTTGAATTTTTTCCCCTCTTTTTTTATTCACATGATCAAACTTTTCATCTCGCTATTGCTAACACTTTTTCTAATTTTTATTTTGACTTGATTTTTAAAATATATGGACGTTAAGATTGTATATGTTTTTTTCCGTTTTTTCACAAAAAAGTTATTTTATAAGAAATATTAGTTCTGTACGAAGCACGTATTTTCAAGCATAATTATGTCTCAAATTAAAAAAAGGGGCTAAATATTTTAATACATTAACCATTAAATTTGAAATATTTTGTTATTAGTAAACATTACTTCTCATTCTACGAATCATAACTAACAAAATATCATCAATAGAAAAATGTAAAATAAAATCTTAAGATTAATATCAATCGGAAAATTCCTCACTAAAATTTTGCATTTTATTTTAGCTTAAAAATTCCATAAAGGTTATTATTTTTTTTTTGAGTTCAATATTTTGAAAAACATCAATTTTGCTTAATTTGCTTAGCAAATGAAGAAACGAAACTCCTTTTAAACATAAATTGCTTCATAAAATGTTTAGTACGAAAAATGTTAACTATAATTAGTTTAGTCGAAAAATGCTAACGTAAAAAATGTCCATTAATATATTCCCTTAATTCTTTTATTATTTTTTTTAAAATTTAGTAAGTTGAAATAGGTCTCTAACAATGGAACAAAAAAACTATTTGAGAATCTGGCAAAATTGGCATTTTTGTGAGTTAGAGAATTTGATTAAATGTTCACAGGGAGACAGCTAAAAGTGAATGAGAATGAAGCAGAGCAGAAGTCTGATCAGACAGTTTTTCTAAGCCTTCTATAACTAAGAAGTAGTTGTTTCGAATGACACTTGGACAAGATAGATGGCAGCACTGCTCATTTATGATGCCACTTTTTCAATTTAGACATAGATCTGAAGCGGAAGGAAATATTCTCCAGATCCATGTACCCGTGGCATTGCTCAGTGACCGACCACAGGAATTTTGATTCCCCAGGTTTCTGTGTCGCAAATCGCATGCGCTCGGTGGGTCCTAGCAGAGTCGGGTACTGCCCTCCTCCTGGCAAAAGTCAGAATTTCTAACCACTTTGGCCAATGAAATTGATATCCTTGAATTATAAACTGGTTACCAAACGGAGCTGGATATTATGCTTTTGATAAAAATCATTTAATTTTGCATAACAAATAGCAGAGAGAATCATTATGGAAATTAACATACTTGTCATTTCTTAAAATGATTACTCGTTAAAATTTCTCATATTTGTGATTTTAATTTCTAAATTTTCTTAGTTAGATTTGTAACCAAGTGTCACAGGCAATCAAAATGGGTTTACTTTAGCCTAACACTTTTCTACCTTTAAAAAAAAAGATTTTTTTTATGTTCTTGTGGTGCAGAATGTGTAAACATGTAGTTTGATCCATATTTTTAAAGATTTAATTTTTACAAGTTTGCTTAAGTCCAATAACTGAGCGATTGTTAGGGTGGGATGCACGTTACGTTTAATCAAGATTCAAAATGTTGAATTGCATTGAAGAGAAAATAAATAACTTAGTTTGTCTCTTTATTAGATATTATCTCCAGACCTATAGATTTTGAGATAATTGTTAAAAAGATATTAATTTAAGAAATATGAAGATCAATTATGAGGACAAATATGATTTTAGGGGATACTCTATCGTATTTTAATGCAAAAATAATTTTTAAACAAAACATATTTTTGTGTTTACTCGTTAGAGACTTACAGTTAAAATATTAAAATGGAGATTCATGCGTTAGATATGTAATAATTTTTCTTGTATGTACTTGGTTAAAAAAAACAGCCTAAATTTCCTATTCACAGAACTTTGTGGCTTTTAAAAGTGTTGCTTGTGTATTGTGGCTTTTAAAAGTTTATAACGACAGTAATATTCTTATGCACAACTTTAAAATACAAATATATTTAAACTCGGACTGACCTGAGCTTTGTCATCAAGCTCTAAGCAGTTAAACAGAGTAAATAACCGAACTATATTTTGTTAAAATACTGTTTGCTAAAATACGGGAAAACAAATTGGTGTGGTTTTATTGGTTTGTGGCTTTTAAAAGTGTTGCTTGTGTATTGTGTTTATAACGACAGTAGGATTGTCTCAATCACGAGAAATAGTTTACTTGAAAGAAAAAACTAGACCCTTTAGGCTGGAAAATTTGAAAAAAAAAATTACTCATAAGTATTTGAATTAACTTTGTATAATATTGCATAGTGAATTTTATAACAAAATTAAATAAAAAAATTATAGGGGATTCATTTAGTTAAAAGTTATTTTGTATAATTATCATGTTTCACTCATTCTTTACAAAAGACTCATAGGTTAAGAGTCATGATCACAAATGGAAAACACAAAAGGTTCCTAAATAATATTCTACTCAAAGTCTTATAAATTTAATTAAAACGTACACTTTGTTTTGTGCTAAGTTACATCAATTAGATTAATTTTATGCTGTTATTGTTTTTCGTAATTTTACATTAAAGTGATTTCGCATATAATAAGCAAAAATTATAACTTTATTGTAAACAGAAATAAAAAATGCAGAATTACCTAAAAGAAAACCATCTTTACTCCATTGAACTGAGCCTGCTCTGTTGCCAATATGACACTTAAATTCTACTTCATCGCCTTCTTTACTTTCTTGATCCTTTGGCCTCACTCGGAAGAATTGATTTTCACTATACGAAACTGAAAAACAAAATACATAACTAAATATTTAGGAAATGTACATTTATGAAATATAACAAAATAAGGAACTAATATTTAGGGAATTTAATTTAAAAATAATACTGTCTGTGAAACATATTCAGCAAAATATACGTTTCTAAATTGTCAAACATGTAGACTATTAAAGCGTGTTGTAAAAGAAGAACAAAAATTTTTTTTGACAGATGTCAGGAATAAAATAGTTTATTCCATCAGTCCGACTTGATAGCAGAAATTTCAGTTTTTAAACGCAATCCATGTGTGTTGTTTCTTTATACAAATTCACATTTCTGAATTAGTCTACTCCTAATTCGGTTGATTTTTGATGCATGGTGCTCTCTCTGTTTTTGCGCGTTATCTCATAGAAGGTGTTTTGCTGTTGTTACTCATCCCCCTGGTGTAGGAAGGCCTGGTGTTCAAAAGACTCCGTCACCTGAGAACATCGAAAATCTTCTCCTGCTCAACCAACTACTGCTTCCAGCAAGCTCCTAAGCAATTAAGAACGTGAGCAGGACAAGCAGGAAGGAAACAGAATCAGGGTGGAAAAAAAATATATTTCCCTACTCTGTAATTTTAAATTTAATAATGTGATGTCACTGCGTCGTCTACTCATTTCCTTTTTCAGCATCCTCAATAACTTTACCTTTATCCTTCAATCTAAGGAATTTCTTCTTGCGATAATCATTCATATTTTGATTATTTATTTACTAAAGTTCCTTTTAAGGCAACTATTCTTCCAATTTCTAGAACATGAAGAAAAGCAAATATTAGGCAAGTGCTTGTACACATTATTTTTTTTCTTTTTGCAAGAGTCAGTGATCTCTATGTGCTGCTTAAATTGAAAACTAGACAATGACGCATCCAGAATCACCATTCAGTGCGTGAGTTAAAAATAAGATTTCCCGAGATTCATGAAGAATAATCATGAAAACAGCTCTTTTATCTGTATAAGGTAAATTGAACTATCAAAAATGTGACTGACGTCTGCATGGATGCTCAAAAATTTCAATGCAACTATAGTGTATCAAAATTTCTGTAATTCTTGCAGACCACCCTTGAAAGATGCCCTTTATTTGTAGTAGGGACAGCTGATGCTTATAAATTGTTAACTATGATTTGAATGTGATGATACATGGGGGAAAATAAATATGTTTAGTAATACTCAGTTAAAATTATTGCAGACAAGGTATGATAAATTGAAAAAAGTTGAATAAAATACTCCATGTTGCAAAGTTTGTGACAGAAACGATTAGCCATTGTTCAGAAATTGCTGGTCAAATGTTTCTCGTGATGTATACACTATGGAATACGTTTGGTAGCATAAACATATGGTGTTTCTTCTTTGGTTGCTGTTGATTAGAGATGGTCATTACGAAGGGATACTTGGTATGGTATTTAAACCATTTATTTGGCATTTTTCCATTTGTATGATAAAGGTTAATCGTAATTTCTGGCTTCTAAAATTATAGTTCTTATGATGACATATTCGGTGAAATATAAAAATTGAATGGTAAATTTAACCGAATAAATATTGTTTATAGTGTGCTCTAAGATATCATGATACAGTTACCAAAATTTTCGAATTCAGCAAATTTTATCAGTCATTATAAAACCATATTTTATTGCTTACTTAACCCAATAAATTTAGTAAAAATTACCATGTTTTTTAGTGTTCCCAAGCGTGATAAATTTTACCACATTCTGACAGTTTTGACCATACATTTTTCTCAGTGTACACGCAATTCTCGAAATTTTTTTTAAAAAAAAAGGATTTTTAAATGCTTTTAAAGAAAATGAAATTACCATAAGCAAACCAAAAAATTTTTATTAGCTTCAATAGAGTAATTTTAAAGAGGTTCGTCAACATTCGCTCATTAATTTCAAGCTATGCTCTTATCAACATAATTTTAAGAAGTGCCTCTTCCACATTAAACAAAACATATTTTAAATGTTCTCGTCAAATCCTAGATAATTTGAAATCAAAGTATGCAATAAACTGATTTGTTTGCATTTGAAATCCGAAGCAAGAACACAATTTTCTAAAATTCTTAATAGTGTGTCTACATTGGTCGATTCTCATCGTAAATTTCATCGCTTGTTGTTCGAGAACTATAATTATTCCCCTAATAGAAAGAATGTAAATGCTTAAAATATATTAGTTTGGAAATCTAACAAAAATTTAAAATCTTTCAGGGAATAATTCTATCTCTCAAGATGCTTTAGTTTTAGAGAAGATTCTTTCACAAAACGAAATGCTAATTAAATTATTTTCTACAAATAGCCTATAAGATATCGCGAAAAAGACGGACTACATTCTTTACTTCTTAAGAAAATAGATGGCTTTCATCGAATCGGAAAAAAAATTAAAATACATTTATTCATTTTTATGCTATTCTTCTTCTTTTTTTCTTTGATAAGTACAAACATATATTCATCAAATATATATTCATACTCTGAAACCAATTTCAGAAATACAAAATAATCATCGAATACGAAACTTATTATAGGTGGCGCATAACAAATATGGAATCTTAAAACATTTTCTTTAGATATATTTAATGTCACAAAGTAATGAAAAAAAGCTATTATTACATTTCAATCAAATTTACAGAGAAAAAAAAATAGTTGAAGCAAATTTCAGAAAAAAAGGAATACTAATAGCCATATATTTTGCTATTTTTAAATATATATTTTAAACTATTTCACAAGTGTTTATTTATTGATAAGCAAGAGTTGAGAAATGGTTCCATGGAACGAAAAGTCCCAGATATTACGTTCTATATTGAATATTTGTCACCAGTGTGTGCCCAAGAAAGCCCTGTGTGGCATATCAACCGACACTAAAAAGAATTCGGAGGCATCTTGAAGGAATATGTCATTCCCATATAATCAATGTCGGGGAAGTCGCTGTCACCACTGTCAACGTTCTTGTGGCGTTTGGCGGTTGCTGATTACATTACGTGGTTTTCTTCTGTTAGTTATTTTCTTCTTTTTCATATTGATGTCTTGCAGCTTTTATTCTGAACATTATTTTTCCCAACTTACGGGAAAGAATGAGATCCGAATATGCAGTAAACTCCTTGTGGAATAGTTTAAACATAAAATAAAGCAGATATGTTCGAAATAAACTCAATTATGTATCTGTATTTGCGGTGGATATAATATTTGAATATGTATTATTTTCTTACATATCATGCGATTTTGAATCGTGAAATGATTTAGAATTTAATACTTAAGATACTCTAAATTACAATTAGTTTCATAAGGGAATTTTTTTTCTTTTGTTTATTTTCTACTTTTTCATATTGATGTCTTGCAGTTTTTATTCTGATAATTATTTTTCCCATCAAATGGAAAAATATAGAGATTCGAATAGGAAATAATAATTTGTAAAATAGTTTAAATGTTTGCTAGAAATATGTTGAGGTGGTTATATAAAATTTAAATGTATATTTTTCTCCTAAAAATTGCGGAATTTGAAACATTGATGTAAATTAGAATTTAATATTTCAGAAATTCTAAATTGCAATTTTTCTATTTTTTTATTTGAATAATTTTTCTCTTCTTCCTATTAATGTTTTACAGCTATTATTCTAAGGATTATTTTTTAACAAATTGAAAATCCACATATGTACTAAGCCCTTGCGAAATAATTTAACTGTCATGTAAAACATATTATATTTTAGGAAAAAGCTCCCTTTTTCTTATTTGAAGTTGTCTTAACATTCAAATATATTTTTTTTATTAATATGTCCTGAAATTTGGTTATTTTAATAAATTATAATCTGATGTTTCAGCAATTCAAAATTGTTATTAGACTTTAGTAATCACATAAGAACTTTACATTTAATTGGTATGTGCATTTAACTCCCATGATGTTCTAAAAAATAAAAATAAATATTTGCGTTAGGCATTCATATGCTATATGAACGTTTCAAAATCAGTGTTATAAATAGATTTCAATCATTTGTGATATTTATGTCTTTCCATCTAAACATTTTAACTTTAATCTAAGATCATTTTACTCGCACCATATTTTGGGATGAAAATATTTAAAATATTAGTTAATAATTTCCCCGAAATGACTTACTTGTTTGTTGAAGATAATATCAGGGACTCTTCATACTTTCAATTAAAAGTTCAGTTTCTAACAACTTAGTTCTTCACCTTATCTACAATTTAAATTTTTCTTTAATTAAAAATTAAATTCAACTTCTTGCCTATCTTTTGTTGAATTCAGTTTAAAGGTCAAAATTAAACGTCGATAACTATATCAGACAACGATGAGGATTTGCTAAAATATCAGTGCATTTGAGCTTCTTATAAAAAGAGGATTTAAAATAAGCGATTCAGAAAAATTCGTTTTAGTAATTCTTTTTAAACTGTCTTAGTTTAATAGCTAAATGACTTTATCCAAGGAATTCAAAATTCTTAAAAGACTTTCCGCATGTTATCAATTGAGATTTTTCTGTCTTGAGATTATAAAAATAAAGAAAAGAAAGCTTCATTATGTTCATTTTATTGAAATCCGATATATTTTTCGAAAATTCTTCATACACTGCTCGCATTTTGATATTTTCTGATAATGAGAGACTTGACATGAAAAACAAAATGAACGCTTTCATTTTTTTTTTGGTTGTTAGAATCTTAAATCGATTTCAGAAGGTTAATGTTCGATAAAACAAAATGTAGGTCACTAGTACAAGGACTAACTTTATTATTTTTTCTTCAATTTTCCTTAAATTCTAAATTAATCTTTTTGATTGTCTCTTCTTAAAGTATTGATCGAAATTCTGATGGGCTTCCTTAGAAAGCTAATTTTTTCTTCTTCAAATTATCCATTTGGCTTTTATGTTTAATACACGTCATACGTATATTGATAAAAATTCCCAATGAAGATTGGATTCATCGGTGTTGTAGAAGATTTAAGTAAAAATTTAATATATGTTACAAGATACAAAGAAAAAATGTATTACACAACAAAATGAATACATTAAAAAAATTTAATCTACACATTTTTTTGAAATCAAAATGCTGATACAATTGATGAGACAAAATTTAAGATAAGGTTAACATAACAACAATTAGTTTTCATTGATATTTAGCAAATAAAATAATGAAGTATTTATGAACTTTTTTTCAAGTATTGATCGAAATTCTTATGTTTCCTTAGAAAGCTAATTTTTTTTCAAAGTTCTATCAAATTACCCTTTTGGCTTTTATATTTAATATACTTCATACGTATATTGACAAGAATTCACAATGAAGATTGGATTCATAAGTGTTCTAGAAGATTTAATATCTGGTAAAAGATACAAAAAAAGTGTTTTATACAACAAAATGAATACATTAACGAAATGTAATTTACACATTTTCTTAGGAATTTAAAATACTGATACAATTGATGAGACAAAATTTAAGATAGGTGCAACTTCGCAACAATAAGTTTTCTATGATATTTAACCAACAAAATAAGCATTTTTAAAAATTTTCGTTAGAAGATCTAATATTGTAAAAAAAACACTGAAACAAAAATAGAAAAAGGATACTGTTTTCATACTAAAATTGCTTTTTTAAGATCTTTTTTTTTCTCCATATAATAGTAATAATTTATTATTATCTAATATGATAGATGATAATAAATGGCTGCTAATATTTTATGAAAAACGCCTACGGTATATAACATAAA